TTCTGCAGATATGAGAACCTGCTCTGAGAAAGCAGTGGGAATTTAGACACCACTGGGGAGTTTTTACCCACTTCATTCATATTTATACATTGAAGTGGTTATCAGAGATTAAAGGTCTAGGCTATGAAGTCATGTTTGTACGTTCAAACAGAGGCAAAATATTGAGGATTTTATGATATACTATATTTTAAACATACTAGATAGAAATATATGAAGTAGATAAATATTGTAGGTACTGAAAGCATTCATTGTCCAAAATTCCATACTTTATGAAAAGCAATATCAGAATTCAGTGTTGTGTATGCTAATGTTAGAAGCAGGAACTATTTCTTTGGATTTATTCTCAAAAAATTAACAAAGCTCATTGGCACAAGTGCCTGCCTGGCAAGCGCAAGGTCATGAGCTTGATCCTTGGTACTCCCCACAAAAAATTTATACATATCATATACATGTGCATATGCATATGAATATATAAAATAATGAACACATAATTTCCAATTAAAAGCAGGTGGTCAATGGCTCCAGTGTAGCTGACAGAACCTGTACTTTGCTCTTTAGAACACAGAAGTCTCTTCTTTCACCTCAGTCTGCTATTCTCAAAAGGTGTTGTTAGACCGTTAAAATGAGTATCCTGGTCCTTTTGATAGGTAAAGAACCTTTTGATGAAGTGATAATTAGATCGTCAACACAGGTGAAATACAGTAGTTTACTAATCCTTATTGGGTGTTAACTGTACAAACATTAATCATATAACACATGCACATTTTACTTGGATTAGTCAGTTGTGTAAATCTATTATCTCTTTTTAAAAAAGAAAAATGTTGACATAAGTAGCCAAAGAAATTATTGTGGAATTAGTTTGAATTTTGTCTGAGTCAGTATTCAGTATTTAATATGAGTATCAGCATTATTGGACTCCAAGTAAACATATGATCTCTGACTGATTAGTTTCAAAGCTAATCAAAGGAAAATTCCTTTTCAAAAAACTTTGGAAAATCTTTGCTAGGAATTAGTTTACAGTCTAGCAAACAAATTATTTGCAGGTTTGAAAAATAGCGTATTTTAAGAGAAAATACGTTTAGGTATCATTGACTAGAATGATGGAACTGTATCTTTATTCACTCTCATTAGAATTTCCAGTCGCCTGACAAACTTCAAAGCCACTAGAAAGGCTGAAGGTAGGATGCACTGGAAGGCCAAGGATGACCACGTCCTGGAGGTGGTGATCTTTCTCTGATCTGATCAGTTCTGTTCTGTTTGCTCCCCACTATCAAAAGTTTTTTGCCTGATTCGCAATGATCCAAGTGGATTCAGGGATGAGACCTTGGTGAAGACTATTCCAGCCCAACATGCTATGTGATACTTCCAGTGCTGTCTTCTTGTTTTTCACCTTCAATAATTTACAGTATTTTCCCACAAGCTGTTCATTATCAGACAACAGACTTCCGCCAGGGTTTTAGTTCTGTACTACAGTGTCTTCATTTGTCCCAGCAACAGGAGGAGATGGCGTTTGGTGGGGCCCCGTGACCTTGCTGGCTGAGCATTAGAAGGCTTAGGGTCCAGTCTGTTAAGCTGGAATCACTGAAATAATGTTTACTATTATTTTCTGTTTTAAATATTCAACACAGAGATGCACGTATGAACATATGGATCACATTGTTTATTATTTATCATGCATTTTGTAGAGGATTTACATACATGCATATGCTGTCACATTTTTAATAAATTCACTTCAGGACTCTTGATTTTATCTTAATGCATGCAGAATGAAGCTTCAAATCTCTTTCACCGATATTCAGGCTGAGCCAGGTTTCTTTCTGTCTGGTGTTCAGTCTGGGTTGAATGTTTGCTATTTTATTGTACTGTGATATAAATTAAATTTTAAAGAATTTCTTGTGAAGTAGGTTATAGTCACAGGATACACTTAGCAAAGTGCAGAATCAGAGAAGCCCCACTAAGAAAATACTCACATTTAATTAGAGAAGGACTTATTAGCCTTGATGCAATTTGCCAGTGACATTTAATGGTACATCATTGGCTTTAAAAATGTCACTTGGCTGGAATAGAAGTTCATTAGCAGCTGGAGACGTCAGTTTCGTACAAGGCGAGCCAGCCTTTGCCACCAGAAAGGACTCCTCAAGGACTGTGTGTGCTAGGCCTGAGGAGACTGAAATCTAAACTGCAGTATTTGGCTTTCACAGCATTTGCTAATTATGAGCAAAGTTTCATGTGTCTGCCTCCATGTGAGCACCGGTGATTGCAGTGGTTTCTGGTTTCCTGGATGAGGGCTGTAGACCAGGGCAGCATTTCCCTTCGAATGCATCCTTTAAAACCCGTTGCCCTCGTACACACTCAGCTCGGTGTTTCCAGCTCGGTGACATTCTCGGAACCGTCGTGCAGTAAGCGTGTAAACTGCATGGAAGCTGAAGCTTAGGGGCGTCGCCTGCATCCTTTGGCATCGTTTTCTTGGGTCCTCAAAGGGGTGAACTCCGGAGTGGACTGAACTTAGTTTAGGTGGCGTGGCTTCCGCGCGTGCACCCTGCGTGTGGATGTGTTAGGTCTGTGGGGTGGCAGCGTGAAGAGCTCGTGGACATCCTGCGAGGTCCGGTGCAGCTTGGATTTGCTGTGGGTATGAAGGGAGAGCCACACCGCTCCTCTCCAAGACTCCAAGCCCCTTGCAGTTCTAATGCTTCTTACTCTTAAAAGAACAAAGCCAAACAAAACAATGAAACAGTATGTTATTCAAATTGCCAAAACTGTTCCACTTCCACTTGAACCTCCGTCTTATAAATGAGGGCAGAGAGTTCGGTCAGCAGTGCATGCCCATGCGCCACCCGGCCTTTGTCTTCCCAGACTGGCGTTTCCTGCCCGGAAGCCGCTTCTGTTTGCCTTTCACTCCCTTCCTCTCCTCCTTCTCTCCCTTTTACTTTCTCTTCCTCTTGTGTGCCTTTCCTTCCTTTTCTGTGTTTCCATACTGTGACATGACCCAGGACCTTCTCCTGGAGATACACTCTCGAACTTCTCTGGTTTTTTTTTTTTTTTTTTTTTTTTTTTTTTAAGACAAGCTCTTGCTAAATTGTCCAGGCAGGACTGCAACTTGCAGTCCTCCAGCCTCAGCCTCCCTCAGCGATGGGATTACAGGCATCACCACTGTGCCTGGTTCATTTGCATGGCCTTTGACTATATTTTAATAAAATTTAATATGCAGATGTATTCCAATATAGTATTTCTGAATGTTTACGTGTATCTTTTGACCTTGGTCTATTTAGATTTTTGTAGGAATGGACTCTTCTTAAACTTCCTCTTCCCCAGTACAACGTCTCACTTTTATTAGCCCATGGTACTTAATTTCTGTCCTACAGCTGATAGGCCAGACCACTGCCACTTAAGCATGCTGTAGGGAGTTGTTTTTTAAATTTAACTTAGGAATAATTAATCCTTTTATGCCTAGTGTGCTCCATTTTTGGAATGACACATAATAATGGAGCATAATAAAACCTTTTTCTCTTCAAATCTTTGTTCCTTCAATTTTTCTAGAGAACATATATGAATTTCATGCAGAAATTAAAAAAAATGCAATCTTCAGTTTAAATGGGTTCAGTTGAAATTTTCCATTAGGCAACATTCTGTAATCACTGGTAATACTTACACAGTAGCTTTGAAAATGAATAGATTTTGCTATTAAATTTCAAGCACAGAAAGTAATATAAAAGAAACTAATATAAAAGCTGACCTTAAGGGATGTTCACATTGTCCAGTGTGGATCAGATCTCTACTCTAGAAGAGGAGGTACAGAGGACAGTGTGTAGTGACTGACCACAAACCATCAACACCACAAGGCCATCCTGAGGCTGACATGCTCCTGAAACCTACCTTGGTAATCTGTGACTGTTGGAGAGGGAGATTTTAATACATTTATTGTTTGGCTTATTCTGAGTTCCACTTGTATAGACAGATGGCAGAATCACTGGCCACGGCCCTTTATGAAAAATAACACCTTTAACCCTTTTGATAACCATCACAGCAAGCTTTCTCACTGTCCATGTCAGAGAATGGGAGAGGGACTTTACCTCTCCCAAGGTTGCCCAGTGAATAGGAAGTCAGGGCTGGCATTTTTTTTTTTTTTTTTTTTTTTGGTCTTTTTCATTTTTATCGGTACCAGGGATCGAACTCACGACCGCACACTTGCAAGGAAGGCGCTTATGCCGCTGAGCTAAATCCCCAGCCCCCCAGGGCTGGCATTTGACTCAGGTATCCTGGCTCCTGATGGTGTCCTCCTTTGCTGAATGTTTCTGGCTTTTGTAAAAGCTCATCACATGGGAACGTTAGTGTGAAGCTCAGAAGTACAAGTAAGAAAAGTGTCTACAAAAAACAGTGAGGTGACTGATCAGGCACTGTCACTGGCTAAACGCAGCAGGAAGCAGCCAGCAGTGTCACAGGACAGTGCGTGGGCTGGAATCCCCTGCCTCTGGAGCCTGGGAGGGGACGGAGAAACAAAGCCATGACTAGATGAGCAGATTCTGAGAGTTTACTGAGATGACCTCTGGAAGCACAAATGTCCTCTGCGAATTGTGTTTCTGGGGCTTTCGGAACAGTGTAGACCTCGGCACGGTGCATTCATCTCTCCAAGCAGCTTCTTTCCCGCTTTCTGGAACGTAGGTTACAGTAAAGCTGCTCAGTGAGCAGGACGGCAAACTGTCTCCATTAAAACTTCAGTGCCTGAAAGAAAGCCCTCCTGGAGGAGGTCGTGGGTGACAGAGAGGCGGGGAAGGCAGTGGTTTCAAGAGGAATGCCTGTCATTTCCCTACTGAGTAAACATACAAGCATGAGCTTCAGCAGTTAGGTTGCTAAATGGTTTAGAGGCCACGAATCCTTCAAAAGCGTGTCTTCTGCTTTTGTGCCCTCGTGATTGATTAGAAAGTCCAAGCACTTAGTGTAACAATGACATGTTCCCGTGGTCCTTTGGATTCTAAGATTTACGGTTCTTTTTTCTTTTCCAGCGCCTGGCTCTGAAAGCGGAGAAAGTACAAGCGGCCCACCAGTGGCGGGAGGACTTTGCTGTAAGGACGCTTCCTGCCCGATTGATGTGGATTGTCGTCTACGTGTGGGCAGTTATACCCACATCGCGATGTTCTGTGGTGATGGAATCACTGTGTTGTAGGATCCAAAATCCATTTTGCTTTGTTCTCTTTAATTACTTTTGAGTAATCCAGGCCACTTACAGTAGGAGGAACGTCCTTGGTCATGTTCTATATTATGCAAGAAAAACAAATCCTTTAAAATATTCTCCCATACTTAAAAACTACGTTAAAGTGGAATAAAATCACAGCATCTGAGTAATCTTTGTAGATATCCTGAATGTCCTGTTTCAAAAGCACAGTAATACTTGGGGATTCTTCTTTTTTGGGGTACCAGGCAGGCACTTATGCCACTGAGCTAATTCCCTGGGCTGGTGCTTTGGGTTCTTAGAGGCCAGGTACCTTTCACAGTCATTTTTTGGGGGCAGAGTGACCAGAGTGGGAGAGTGTGTGAAACCTTTTAAAATTTCGTTGCCTTCACCCGCCTAGAAGTATCTTTGCTCTGCTCTTGCCTCCTTTCAGGAATACCAAATGGCATTAGTTTCTGCTTTTTAAAAAAAAAAAATATAGGCTTTGTTTTGCGGTTTCATTATACAAATGACAGAAATGTGATGAACTCAAGTTCCTGCCTGCCTGCATCTGTCCTTAAGAGTCGGCTAAAGTACTTTTGTTACTTATTTAAGTTATTTCATGTACAGTGGGAGATGTCTTTAACTTCTGGTCACTGAAAAATCCCATACATTCCATTTTAGGGATGTGAATTTCCCTTAAATCCCCTCCTTAATTAAAATAGTTTTGGAAGGTGACTGACAGCTGGGCTGTATTTTGTAATGCCTTTTACAACAAGTGAACAATTTAAAGTTGTGCTGTAATGGAACACTAAATGGAGGTTTGGGAATGAAAACTTTAGTTTCTTTGATTCTGTTGTATCAAGGGGAAACACACTGAATATTTCATCTACGTGTAGTTCTTTAATCTGTCAGACTTGAAGCTTCTGACATTGTTTTCTCTTTCCCCCTAATGTGTAATATATTAAATAGTTCACTAAGTAGAAACTGCTGGACTCCTGTAAATTTGTTTGATGCTCTTAGTAGGTTGATCGTATTGCTGGAGTCACTGGTATTATGTAGGTACTGGCTTTTTTCATGCCTGGTCATCATGGTTAGGGTTAGTAAGGGTGAATATGTTATCCACAGTAAAGAAAAAACATCAGTGATTGACTGCAAAACAATCCCTTTGAACAATGAAGAGTACTTTTTAGCTCCTAAAATGGTGGGGTTGTGGTAGTTGGTTTTAATTGAACTGAAAATAAACTTGAAATTTCTCAAGTAGACAAAAGAGGGAAACATTTATCCACATAAATATTTGATTAGTATTAAGTAGAACTGCCTCTTCTGTCCCCCTGCTGACAGAGAGATAGTGGCAGGGTAATGGCCCTGTGACGTGTGCTTTCCACCTCGTGTTGGGTTAGGGCAGCTGATACCCATTTAGTTTGAACCTTCCTTTACTAGGAGACTGGGCAGATCCTGACAGTACACAAAGCCAGCTTCTATAATATATAGGAGATACTTTTCTAGGAACCTGGCTTTTATTAATGTCATCTGGTGGTATTTCAAGGCGTTCTTAGAAATGGATAACTTGGAAGGCAAGGTCGCCTGCCTGCCTCTTCCATCCCTGAGAACGTTTCTTTGACTCCTGTTTATTGCTTCCCTGGCCTCACGCTTCTCCCTTCTCCCCTTGCAATGCTGCAAACCCTTCTGTCTGATGCCAGCTGACAATCACGCAGCATTTGAGCAGTGGCTTTTTTCTCCTTAGGGCAGCCATGGGTGACCATTGTTCACAACCCAACCTTAATGCACGTTAGCTATTACCATACTGTACTGAATCCAAACCGTAAGCAGTTGTGTGACACTCTCATTTCATCTCCTTCATTTCCAAGAAAAAGAAGCCAGTTCAACTGTGATGCACCAGCAGCTTTAAGCTGTGTTCTTACTTCTGGGATTTCAAATGTGAAGAACTTTACCTTGACATGGGACCCCCAATATAGACTCTCTCAATGCCTGAATACAAGTAGAAAAAGTTACGCAAGATGACAAATAAATCCCACCATGAACACACAAAGCCATTAGTCTACCCAGTAAGTGTTACCTGTTCTTAGCAAATGGCAGTTAGCATGGGGGAGAATTCTGGAACATGTTCTGTTTTTAGTGTGCTCCTAGGTTATTTCACAATTTGCCTGGGACTTATGACCCTATTGAGGGACAGTGACAGAAAATGTTAAAGCAGAGAAAGCTGGCCACGATCAAGCCCAGTCAGTCCGTTTCTCTGGTGTACCTGAGGGACCGTAGGTGGTTGCCCAAGTGGCCCAGATACAGCCCCCTCTGCACACTGAGAATTATAACTTTCCATGGCTTACCAGGCCAGCCATGTACAAGTCTTCCAGGAACTTTTCCTTTTGGAATACCATGGCCTGGTGGAACGTCGGGATGGTAGCGATTTTATGCTTGGACAGTAGTACCTCAGTAACATTTGTTTACTCATAAAAGTCAAGGAAAAAGTACCAGAGCAGGGCACAATTTTTCTTTTCCCCTCCCCTGATAAAGTAGATGGTGTTCTAGTGTGTAGTTAGGGAAAAGTGCATTCAGAGCTCGAATGCAGTTCAAGTTAGTGGCTAGAAATTAAAATCATCAACATTGACTCCCTCCTTACATTGCGAGAGTGCACAAAACCATTGAAAATGTCCACATTTTAGCTGGAGAGCTACCGAAGTGAGCACTTGTGTCAGCATTTTAACCAACATTTAAAAATGTTCAACTTCATATTAAATGCTGCAGTCTTCCAAAAACTTCTCCATTTCAATTTCTGTAATCCTTTTTATCCTTTAAGATATTTAACTGTTGGGGCTGGGGATTTAGCTCAGCGGCATAAGTGCCTGCCTTGCAAGCAGACAGTCGTGAGTTCGATCCCTGGTACCGGTAAAAATGAAAAAGCTAAAAAAAAAAAAAAAAAAAAAAAAAAAAATTAAAAAAAGATATTTAACTGTTTTACCCATGCAATAGAACTTTAATGCCATCCGTTAATAATTTAACGCTAAGATGACTTAGAAGGCAAAAAAAAAGTTTTCCTAAAAGGTGCATTAACATTTCAAAAAGAAATACAATATTCTGCTTCTTCTCTCAAGCATAAGTGGGTAAGTCTCATTAACATTGCTTAGGCAAATGTTGATTAACACTGCCTACTGCATAGTGCTGAGAAATCACATAAACAGTAGGAAGAAAAGGCAGAGACTAATATACTGGCACAACAAAGGGCCCCCCTCTAATTTATACCCCCCACAGTGCCTGTGAATTCCCAACTGAATATACAGCTCTGGGAACAAAGGCCATACCATGCTAAATGGATTAAGATTTATGCGCTCATGCATTTACAAGTGCAAACCAGTATTTATAAATAAGCAACGTGTACCAGCTGCCTGTCAGGCCACCGTGCAACTTTGGGGTGTTAAAGGTGACATTCCGTGTCACTTGTGATGGACAAATTATTTTGTTAAGGGCAAACGGGAGAAGAGGAGCCAGGAAACAAACTGTTTCACATTAAATAATGACTGTTATTTCTATCAAACAGATCTCTTGCAGTTGCATGTGCAGTCCCATTTGATTGCATTGTAATGGTTGGTTGACTAAGGCAATTTCATTTCCAGCTAAGCCTGCAATATTCCTTGTACTTACACATGTATAAACACGAGAGGCGCCTAATTTGTATTTTAATACCTGGGATCTTTATGTGTGGCTTATTAGTGCCAGCTTCTCCCTGTGCAGGCTGAAGACAGATGTCTAGAAATTGGCCGGTAAATAAAACATTTGAAGAGGCCAGAGAAAGTAGATTAAAAGATAGAGGATTTACTTTTTTTCCTGGAAAGGTTTAATGGTATTGAGTGTCAATCAAACTAATTTATTTCTTCAATACAGCTCTATTGTGTAAGTTTTAAAATCACCTTGCCAAATCTTATTTTGAAACATTGATTTAAAATTATAACATTTTATAAATTGTGCAAATTTGAATAAATAAGCACTGGCATTATTCTGTCCACCCTTAATCATGTCGTGGAATTATACAGTGCATCCCTACTGCAGCACCCGCCTCGTGAAAATGTGGAGAATAAACACATGGTGTGTGTTTGTGCTGTAATATATAAAAATGAACGCTATTCTGCAGTGTAACTTGGATCTGGATGTGTAAAACTTAGCTTTTATCCTAGTGAATATGCCAGTGAATTTGATAGATCATGCAAATGACTTTAGGCTCTTGCCCGAGTTAGTCTTTCTGATTTCTACTCTTGGTTGAACTGCTTGCATGTTTTAAGGTTTTCGGAACATTTTTAATGAATGATCAGTTTTTTATCCCTGCTTCTTTCAAGAGTCTTGAGAATCTATTTTGTAAAGTAAGAGAGATTAAAATGAGTCACCATACCAAGCTGAGGTACCCAGAATTTCTAGGAAACCGGTTTAATGGGAAGGAGTGGGCTGATTTACAGTACTTGCATACACACATTTAAGTGCCCACAGCGAGTGTTACAGCACCCCGAGCAGAGGGTAATAAAGCTGGGCTTTATTGTTAGTCATTCTGCTTATAAGCCATACTTTTTGTGACTTATATTAAAAAGACAAAGCATAAATATTTAACCATTAATTACTTAGCCAAAAGCATTGGCTGCACGCACAGTGAGTTTTGCTGTCTCCTAATGATCTCTCTGGCCATGCTTTCTATTTTAATTAATGTCAAAGTAAGGATAATACATGCTCATATAACGGAAGCCCCTTGGTAAGACACTGCATTGTATTGCGTTTCCTATAATAAGGTAGATTTAGATACAGGAGGACTGGGTACATTTCTTTCCTTGTCCTCAAGTCCCTGCTCAGGCAGGAAGCAGGCAGATGAGATGTGGACTCTTGTGTTTTTCAAGAGGAGCCTGCTCCTCAGTA